TTATTAGGACAATGCAAGAACTGAGAAGGCGTGCTGTGGTAGAAAATTAAATACAAAAGAAATGCTTATCGCTGCAATAAGCGGCTGCACCTATCGATTCGGTACACGTGGAAGACTACGTGAGAGATAACCGTTTTACGCCAATGTGTCTCTTTCCATTTGAGTGCGGGAATTTGCGTCGTTTTGACTTCCCGCTGGGGTCTGCGCCGTTTACACGCCTATGCGTTCCTTAATGAGAGCCGGAGTAATTCTGACATCCTGGAGTTCTTTCTGTGAATACACGGATGTGAACCGTGTATTCACAGCCGTGTTTCCTGTGAACTGTGAACCGTGTATTCCTGTGAACTGTGAATACACGGATGTCAAGGCATTTCGTCCCCGTAAAAACGTGGACGCCATAACTGGGCTTGCTCTACAGATGTGCTCTATCAATTGGAACGTGAATCTAGTGGTATCAAAACGTGAACGGAATCTTTATAGTATTTATCGTATATTTTCTTCGCCATAAAATAAACAAAACTTGTTTCAGGGTCACGTTGTTGCCCTCCTGCACGATAGTTTTTTTAAAGCAATGCTTTCAATATTCTCGACCAGTGATAATTATTTTTTGTGCCGTTAGCTTATTTATGGTTTGGTGCATTTATTTAATTCAAAACGTTTTCTCATGCAAGATCAGCTGACACAAAAGAGGGGCGGGTTGGATTCACAGGTAATTATTTTTTTCTTTGTCTTCTTTTGACATTTCAAGGAAATTATTTCGTTCCAACGCTAGTGAATTTGTACGTTTTTTAGATGAATTTGTTGAAAGGGATGCTATAGAATAACACCATCGGTGAATATGAGAGATCTGTTGTATGCTGTTTATACTGGTTTCATTGTTAAACACAAGCAAATGAATCCAGCAGACAGTTATTCCGAAGAAAGCATGGCGGACATTATTCTTAGGTTCAATTGTGTTGCAGTAATTAATATCTAAATTGTAGCTAATAAAGCTGACGAAAAACCACCTTTTGGTCGGCTGTATCTGAAATCGCTGCCGTGGTCCTGAGGGCCAATTCTTTACCTATCAGTTTGATGATATGAAGAATTTCAGAATTATATATTGGCGTGCACATTACTGAACCGGTTATTTAACCACGTATGCATCACGGTTTTTAACGCAGGAGTTTCCGAGAAGTTTCAATTAAAAACAGTGAAAAACGGAACAGCGAAACCCATCACGGGTAATGAGACACCTTGAGGGAATAAGTTGTCCTGTTACTCTGGTGGGTTCCGACCACCCACGTCTGTACCTTTCTTGAATGAAATACCTTACCACTCTTCTGGAGTGTCGCGCCTCATCAAAAGTCATAACTCTTCAAAAGAGGGTCATCCTGTTTTTAAACACGTGTATTTACGTCACAGGCGAGAGATGTATATAACATTTTCTTTAAGAGAGTGCAGGTGGTACAATCAACGCAGATAAAGTGGTGGTTGAGAGAGTTTGTATAACAAAAAAAAAAACTAAAATGGTTCAAGACACAAGACTACTCTGCGCTTTTTTAGCGGTCCTTTTTTTCTTTTGTGCATGCTGTGTACATTCCGGCTTATCAATCAATTTTGTTATCAATACGCTCTTCTTGATGTAAAGTAACTTTCATAGTATCGATGTTCGCACCTGATAGACTTTAGAAGTCTACGTTAAGTTCTAGGCGCCGCAAATTTCTTCGGGAAACTTTTCGCTTAGCCTACTTTTGAACCGTGAGGAGCGAGAAAAGATTGCTGATTAAAATTTTAGGTTAATTACCTTAAGCTTCGAAAGTTTCCCCCTAAAAAAAGTTGCACCTTTTTTGTGTATGTGTGTGCTACGGAAAGATCAATGCCAATATTTGCTTCTTATAAAAACTCTCTTCTCCGCGCTGGTATACTCGCGGAACAGATTTTTTATATTCAGTGTTCATATACTCTTCAAGTTATCGATTTGTTCCCTCTCACCGCGTGTTACGATAACCTTCGGTTCAGCGCGTATTATAGAGCGACTTTCTCGATGTGGCATTATCTTCGGGTTAGCAACTTATTGTATGGGAACTTTCTCTTGCTGCCAAGTTTACTTGGAGTTACCAGGAGTAGCATGTCAGTTGAATAGCTAGGCTAAAACTTCCAGTATTTCATCAAATGAATTTCTATCCTCTATGTCTTCTTTAGGTAGCAACAGTTACTTTTTTGGGCCGATTCATGCGATTGCCCGAAAAAAAAAGTTTTTTTTTCTTCTCTAAAAGAATTCATCGTTCAGAAATGCACCTTATCCGCGCATCAATGGGGTACACCAATTTGGTCCCAATGAGATTTAGAGCGTATATGCTTGGATAATGAAAGACGTCAAACAATATTCATGTTTAATGATAGTAATCGTGCCATGAAATACCGAACAAATTTTAGACGACATCGGAGAACATTCGCTGCACAGCTGTTCTAATCGGTAAATAGAACATGGATCCCGTTAGCTGAGTGAAGGCTAATTTCGCTCACTGGTGGATGTAGTGTCGCACATATGTTGCCTAACTAAATTGTTCATAAACAACGATTGTCTCATTGGTAGGTCCTGCTTCAATTTTTATGTCGACTTGTCTTATCTCTAGCAATATTGAGAGATGCGCAAAGGACGTCATTGTGAACGTTGCTCATTATGTGCAAGGGGGGGGGGGTTATCGAAATTAACGCGAGTACTGCGGTGCTCTGTTTTCACCACACTTTGACTTTCGTCGAAATAAAGATATTCTAGAGTAGTCAAGGATTGTTTCACGTATGATTCCAGTGGATCCTAATAACCATAAAGACTAGTTCTGCTTGAAATGAAAAGCGAAACAGCAGAGAATACCGATGCCACTCTGTTCGTCTTTTTCTTTTCTATTCCCACTATACTCTGCCAGTGCAGTGAGCTACCAGAGTAGCGTTGAGGAGTTGCTGCGCTAATTGGATGCAGGATATAGTGCCTTGGCATCTCCAAATTCAATATCGAGCAAACATAGGGTGCCTAGTGTGGTAAATATGGCATTTGGTTGGTAGGGGTCGCAGGAGTGGGGACAAATTCCCCGCACACTTGCGCTGGTTCAATCAAGCAATTGAACAGATACATAATGATTTATTTATTTATTTATTTTATTTATACTATGAGTACCTACATACAGCTAGGCATTCTTATAGCGGAGTATGAAGTTAGATGGAAATAAATATTAATAAAAAATGTCACAACCATGATCAAACGCATAGGGGGAAAATAAAAAAGAGATATAACCAAACTGTAGTAAACACTTCGACACTTCGATGTTCGCATTGACAAGCAGATTTAATTGCATCACTAGATGAATCTTTCCTTCTTTCAAATATTTGGAGATTTCAACGACGTTCTAGTTGCATGCGTTGAAATTAGTCGATAATGCGTGAGCTTCGTATAGTTCAATCATAATTGCAGTATCATGAGTCTTGCACCATTTCTGAGTTGTTTTCCAATACAGCTGTTTGAGGGGTCCCGTGCTACAATAGCGCATTCTAAATTCAGCCTAATGTTAGCTATCGTTTAGCTTCAACTTCATCAGACAGCGGCGTTTCTAACATTCAACTAGTTAATACAATACACAGTCATCAGCATAGAGCCCTACTGTAGGTGTAAGGCCATCGTGAAAACCGTTTATCAAAATTGAATAAAGCAAGGGACCCCATTTCGAGCTCTTACAGATGTTCATGTTGAATGTGCGTAACATGGGTGAACCTTTGCGCTGCAGTGGGCGTGAGGCTGATGTTATGATGACGACGATGATGATGAACAGAGTAACTGCGTTTTGTACAACCAAAACGCATGTATAAATTTATTTCTAATTTTTACTTTTACTAGTGTAGTTCGAAATATTGTTTTCTTTGTTATATATAATCACCAAATACCATTTATGTAGTTATTTTTTTTCTGCATTAAGGCTTTCCGCTGTCGAAAATCTGCCTGGGGCATTACTTCTTGCTCTTGCTACCACTTCTGTAGAGCTATATTAGAAATAATTCCTTCTATATTAGAAATATATATATATATATATATATATATATATATATATATATATATATATATATATATATATATATATAAATATGAAAGTAGATGCGCTTTCACATAACAACTGTTTATTGTGCCGACGTTTCGACAGGAACCCTGTCTTTTTCAAGGCATTGAAAAAGACAGGGTTCCTGTCGAAACGTCGGCACAATAAACAGTTGTTATGTGAAAGCACATCTACTTTCATATTTATAACCTTGCGGCAACCGAAGTTATTCTTCTGCATATATATATATATATATATATATATATATATATATATATATATATATATATAGTTATAAACTTCGAGAATAGTGCAGTATAGGAAACAAAACAATAAAATATTTATTTAATCCTAACAGTTTCGGCTGGTGGACCAGCCTTCTTCGGAGGATGGTCCACCAGCCGAAACTGTTAGGATTAAATAAATATTTTATTGTTTTGTTTCCTATACTGCACTATTCTCGAAGTTTATAACTTTTTTTACGGTAGCCGGAAGAAACTCTGATCATCTATTTCATCCATATATATATATTTAAATAAATAAATAAATAAATAAATAAATAAATATATATATATATATATATATATATATATATATATATATATCGTGTACCTCATCTTTTTCCCTTTATTCATCTGCTTCCACTGCTGTGGTGCCGGCCGGGCTACTTTATGGTCTTCAAATAATATCGCCATCTCGCTTTGTCTGACCAAAACGACTGTCCCCGTTCGGTGTAAAGCGTGGCGACATCATGCAGCCTTCATTCTATTTGACCACCATTTGAGAGTGTTTAACGCAGAGCACTAGAAAGTGCGGCATAGGAAGAGGGCGATGCACATATTTGTTTCTGCCTGCATTGTCAATGTGCTGACAGGAATAACATGAAAGAGTAACATAACTGGACTTAAATGTAATGACATGATAGGAGTGTACCTTCTGGTTCCATCACCGATCTCGCGCGTCCAATGCGCTCCAGAGACTCGTACGGTCCCGACCTGGTGATCACTTCTTGAAGAATGATGGCGAAGGCGTAGATGTCTCCCTTCTGCGACGAATGCTGACGCGGTTCCTTGAGGCGCAGGAACTCTGGCGCAGTCCAAAACATGGATCCTGCGCGGAAGTGCAAGTGGGTATTCAACATGTGTAATGTAGTCATTGAAAAATTTTATTTTCCGTAATTTAGTGTTAGTGTAGGACCTACGTGTCTAAAATCAATTTCTCAATCTTGCTTCGAAGCCATAACGTCCGGACGATAACGTTAGCGATTTCTGTTCTTTCTTCCATTCGCTCTTTTTGCGACAAAGTCCACAAATAAGCGTAACGTCAATGAGGTAAGTTTTTGCCGATTTTCCAATACAGTGGTGCTTACAGTTCTTGAATAATTAGCTGGACCTTTGCCAGACGCCACGAACACGTGTAAAGTCACAATGAGAGCGTGCAGTAACTTTGAGGTGACGTAACTATGCGCCTTTTGTTATTGAGATAATGCTCAAGAACAACAGAGCTGACTGCATATTTCGTAGTGGCACTCGCCAAAACTGGCGAGTAGAAAAGACGACGGAAGGCGGGTGCCTTTGATTGGATAAATGTAACAATCGTGGCACTGCATCAAAGCTATAGGGAATACTATTAGATTTCCCTTTTGTTTAGCATGCTTTTCATTGAACGCGTGAGAGAATAAAGCCATCCAACTGATCCAGCTTGAAAACTGCAAAGCCAGGCAAAAGCGCACCGAATGCCACGGTGCTGAAGAAAATGTGCCGGAGTACCAAATTATTACCGCCACAATGGCGTCTTCAATACGTGGGACATAACAAACAACATAAAATGCAAGCTTTCTGTGCGGTAGGGCTTTCAGTTCATTTCACTGGGCAGCCTTCCGACGTCACGGGGTGCGGGAAGCATGGTCGTGTGAGCCCGCGATAATCGAGTGGAGGGTAAGCATCCATATCACTGTATTCTGATATCTGCACGCTGAATAACGTACTGTGCACTGCGTGCCCCTATCACTGTCGTTCTTGATGCACTTATCTCTTAAGCCTTGAGCGTACGCAACCAGCAAGAAAAACATGCAAAACAATGAGGTCGTGAAAAATGCTAGAGCGCCCCTTTAACGAGCCCCTTCGTACCTAATTGAGCAGATTTGTTTTTCTTGCGACTACAATTTTCATGGAGAATGTCAGATGCTTTCTTTTTTCGTCGTCACCATGTTCTGCTTAAAGTCCAAAGCGATAATATGGCCCACACTCATCCTGTGTTTCACGCGCGATGAAAGCTAGTGAGCGCTGGCGATGAACGCGGCTGAAGCAGAGATGAACCGAGCCGACAATCTTAGTCGCACGGATGATGCACGTCAGAGCATCCCTTCGCATGCGCGGCCTGCTGTTGATGGCTTTTCGAGCAGAGATGAAATTATCCGGCTGTCTTTCACCGGGTGAAAGAGCGTGAAAAGGCACCGAGGAAGATGGTTGCATTGTTCAAGCATCAACCGTGAACTTTGAACATGGGTGCCGTTGATACGACGCACATCACGCAATCTGCTTCGTTCCTAGGAGCAGTCGTGTCCTCTGACCACAGTTCGGTCAACTAACTCACGAGTCGACTTATTCGGACTCACTTCAGTTTCAACTTCAACTCAGACTCAGATTAAACCGTGAGTCTGAGTCGGATTTAGTCTGAGTCGGGGTGAGTTCGGCTCAGAAAAATTTGGGTGAGTCTAAATGAAGTGAGTTTAAAGCGCAAGATATATTTGTTGAATCAGTCTGAGTGAGTTCCAGTTTTTTTTCGTCCACCAAAATCTGACACCAGCACTTTTTAGAGCTACGTGAGATTGGGTGCAAAAGAGTTAACTGTTGTCATTACGCGGTGTATCATTACGACTTGTAGCTATCACATAGATTGCTTCGCCCTTGCGGCGAAACTGTTGTTACTAAGGCGAAATTTTCAGATGCCTCATTAAACGCGAAAATTCACCGGTGTCCAGCGTGGACATCTCGCGTGGGTTACGTCAACACGAGTTCCCAAGAACTTCTGCTAGAAAGGGAGGGAGATTAGTTATAAAGGTGAAGTGCTGTGAAAGACGCGGTGAACTCGCTCAAGCAAGGACGGCGCCATTCAGCCATAGACCGACACAGGCAAGTCGTCGTCAAGAAGGACTATCTTTTGAGCGACGAGTTAAAGTATAGCGCCGCCGTGGTGGCCTATACTATACTCTATACCTCGAGTATCACGGCAAGGCACACCGCGAAGCATATAGGTGGCCTATACTATATACTCTATACCTCGATTATCAAGGTAAGGCACACCGCCAATCATATATGCATGTTTTCCTTCAGTTGGACGCGTACCGCGAAAAAGCTTTTTTTTTTTCAACGCCAAAGACTGCACTTATGGGTTACTCAACCGTTTCTCTTTGCACATTATTACATTTGTTATTCGTAAATCACGAACTCCGAGTCGGCGCTTGTGCCCTTTTAAAGGAGCTCCACAACACTTCCAACATCACAGCTGTTGGAGCTCGCTGTGGCTTCGTGACGCACGAAATGAAATGATCATCATCATGAACCGGCCCGTTTTTTTTTTTTCACAAGAACCTTCAGCTTATGAAAGTAAATCAGTTGCCCCTTCTATGTACCTCCCTCCAGCTACAAGCCACTGGTGTTCTTATGCTGTGTGCCTCAGAATCGTGCTGCAGTTTTGTGTAATAAAATACTGCTTTGATTTGTTGCCAACTTACCTAGCAAACATCGCATTAGCGCGATGCACATGACATACAAAAAGAAAGCCTTTTCACAACATTCACTTACTCGGATTCTTATCTTCGGGTTCCGGAAGCTGGGCGTGAAGGTGTCGCATCCCGTAGTCGGATAGCTTTACGACGAAGCGACCGTCCACTATGCATTTGGTGCTCTTCAGCCTCCCGTGGTATTGGATGGGTGTGCCGTGAAGGTAGTTCAGACCCTTTGGAGACAGATGGGAAAAGAGGAAAGAAATAGGAGTTTCATAATAGCCTAACTTTCCAGCAACACTAGGAAAGCAGCAAGAATACCAAATTTATTGAATGAAGGAAAAAAAGTGTACGTTTAAAGGCTTGTTTTTTTTTGTTATACATGATGTTAGGGAGATATAACAGATAATAATACCACGAAAAGTATAGGGAATGTTCATGACTAGGAAAATTTGTGCTAGGAAACTGGTGCCATCTCTCGGCGGCCACAGCGGCGGTCGGCCGAGACTGAATTAAAAGTAGGCGAAAAAAATCATATCTGACGAAAAAAGCTAGTTAGCGAAACAGAACCCCGTTTTTATACAGCACAGACCATAGAGTTTCCTAATATACACTAGACGGAACTCTGGCGCTAGTGTCTAGTGGCGCTAGTGTCTAGCGCTAGTGACTGAAGCGCCGCGCAACGCGCGGCGCTTTAGTGAGCATGGGAATGATGGGTAGTGCACACATTTGTCTAAACTTCGTACTTCTGGCCTGCTTTTGGCTCGGTGTGTGTTCGTGTGGCTTGAAGTTGTTTTCTCACTAAAAAAATCAGCAAATGTTCAGCGATTGCGCTTCGCCACCCTATTTTTTTCAACTTACCTTTCCAAATTTGGTCACGAAGTTCAAAAGGGTTGAATCTTTCTTTCTAAACAAAACCGATTGATTGATTGATTTATTGATTGATTGATTGATATGTGGAGTTTAACGTCTCAAAACCACAATTTGATTATGAGAGACGCCGTGGTGGAGGGCTCCGGAAATTTCGACCACCTGGGGTTCTTTAACGTGCACCCAAATCTGAGCACACGGGCCTACAACATTTCCGCCTCCATCGGAAATGCAGCCGTCGCAGCCGGGATTCGAACCCGCGACCTGCAGGTCAGCAGCCGAGTACCTTAGCCACTAGACCACCGCGGCGGGGCTTTCTAAACAAAACCGAAGCCGCAAGTACGATTCGCCGCCCGCAAGTACAAAGACTAGGCAAATGTGTGTACTACCCATCATTCCCATGGTCGTTGATTGATCGCAGCGCCAGAGTGCCTCTAGCAATTTTAAGAAACTCTATGGCAGAGACTTTTCACAGTCTGGAAAAGTTACAGTGCTGCCCTAGAAACTGCCTGGCTTCACATAGCGTCTAACATTTAATAATGGGAACCCATGTGTTTTTATGGGTGGTGTTCAATTGTCCTGGGAACCTCACGCTTTGTAGGGCAATACTGTAATTTTACCAAAATAAACTAGTGGGTCTGTGCTACGTCTAACCCGGAGTCATTTTTGATAACTAGATTTTTAAAGAGATCAGATTTTTCTGACCTATTTCCCATTCAGTTACGGCAGGCTGCTGTTCCTGCTGCCGAAAGATTGCACCCCGTCCAGCTGTCCGCAATCCTTGGGAATGTTTAGAATTTATTGTAGCGTAAATGTGAAGGAAGAAAAAAAGAATAGTTGGAGCATGGGACGTTATTTCAAGGTCGCAAGTTTGGTCCCTGCTCACGGCAAGATATCTCTTCGTCAACTTGTCTTTGTTTACATTTACATTACAATTACTTCTAATAATATCCCCTATACTTCCCTTGGCATGATTGTCTGTTAGATTTCATTAACATATCTTTTGAAGTAATACGTTTACTGCAGATCAATTCTCTCATAGGGACGGCGCGGTTAAGTGCTTAATGTATGCGTTCATGTCTCGGTGGTGAATAAAAATGAGCAAACGCGCTCTTACCTCAACTATGTCCGTAATCATGGAACACTTGAACATCCAGTCGATGTTGATTTCTTCGTTTTCGAGCATGTCCTTTGAAAACAAGCGAGCACAAAGATGGCGTTCAGCTCAAAACGTAATAAAAATAATTCACACACAACATTGAAAGTCATCTATAGCACAGTAGGCAGCAACATGAGAACACGCGACACTTGTTTTGTCGAACTGTACATGAAAAATAGATTTCACGCGCTGCAAGAGATTTGGTAAGCAGCTTTTAGTGCAAAAGTTTTCGAAGACATTCAGTAGGTATAAGGAGACTCAGCCTCAAGAAGTTTCAAAAACACACCTGTTTTATCATTATTTGATGTAAAGGTTTTAACAATGTTACATATCCACAAAAAGGGCTTGGGAACCCTGACCATGACGATCTCATTGTGGTGGGTACGGAAAGCGCTAGCGTTCATGTATTGATTTTAGTTTAGAGCTTAAGGGAGATCAACCAGCCATAATAAACCTGGCTCCCTTTGTCATTACGTTGATGACTGCCTCGTGCAAGTTTGAGTTGTGCGACTATTCAATGTAAACTTGGAAGGGAAATAATTTCCTTGACTTACTTGTCTGTTAGTTTCCAATAAATATAAACTTAGAACTTAAAATACTTTTCCGAAGTGCCGTTGCCTCGGGCAAGACACTTTGTCTATAAAGTTGAATGCAGACAGATTCTACCGTTAGAGGCTTTCGGTGGAAAAGGGCCCTTGTCATTACGTTCCTGATCAAGCAGCCACGCCTTCGCTTCCTAGCCCCGATTACGGTTTTCTGTCCACTCTCACAGGTTGCTACGTTAGAATATACACAAGTTCCACCCACAAAACCGAAAGACTTGTATTCTTTGGTTCAGTAAAGAAGTCAGACAAGCTGGTCTTTGTTAAAAGCACTTGTAGTTTTTTTTCTCTCGCTCTAGTAATACAGAAGCACCACGGTTGTCGAAAAGTAAGTTTTTCTTTGCGGGTAAAATATCGGTTTAGATACGGAGCAGCTCATGAACAAGCCTTGTCTCCTCCTTTTCTGTCGTGACACGCTAGTACTCGAAGCGCCTGCTAGAGGCGCAGTGGTAGCAGCGCTCGCCCTTCCCCCCCGGTTGTTCACTACACTCCTGCGCGTACTCTAGGTTTATAGGAGACCTCTAGAGTGCCGCACCTATATATAGCGCTCGCCTCCTGCGCTCTCTCACCCACAGCAGCGTGGCGACAATATCCGCCTGATGGCAGCGCGTTTGAAATGCGTTTGTGCTGCATTGGCTGTGCTAAGAACAGTGCTTTTCTAACACGTTTGTGCTGCATTGAAGCTGGCGACAAGTCAAGGAACGTTTGTGAATACGAAGCTTAGACCCTTACCTTAGCAGTGCACTTCACCGGTCCTAATGAAGGAAAAATTGCCGCCCACATCTCAACATCACACGCGTCTTATCATTATACGTCGGCAAAACCTGTGCAGTTCACTCAGACTCGCTCATGAAATACATTTTCCTCCTTAAAATCACTCGGACTCCGACTCACCAAATTTTTCTAGAGCTAGACTCACTCGGACTCAACTCCACGAAAAGTTTCTTCAACCGGACTCGCTGACACCCAAACTCACCAAACATTACTCACCCGGATACACTGAGACTCAGACTCGTGGCTCGATTTGAGTGTGAGGGAGTCTGAGTCAGTCCCATCATTAGTTCATTAATCTCGAATTAGCTTTGTTGACCAAGATGACGATGCTGTTTATTACCAATTTATCACGTAATCGGTGCTATTCTTGGCACCGTTTGATATGGTACTTTCGTATACGAGTTATGAGTGCTCGCAAACCACTTAGCTCATTTTTATTAGAAGAGATGACTACATAAGACATATTTATCAAGAAGTACCCTGGAAGAGTTACGGGGGAGGGCGTCAAGGCATCCCCTCCTACGTTACTCACGCCTCAAATCATTATATATTGAAATTTCGAATCAACGAGACTGCTTTAGAGTGCGTGTGAATAGACGTGAGTATTCGCAACTTACGCGACCTATAGGTGGTGCGAGTGTAAATCCAACATGGTGGTCGTTGACGTGATCACCCCGAGACAGACAATACCCGAAAGTACACGTTTGGCAAATATTGCAATTCTTGGCGCTTCGGCGGCTCTTCAATTTATGTTTTTATGAAAGCAGGGGTGCGCTAACATACGATACAAGTGAATAAATGTTGGATAGCACATTGGGTAGATAAATAGGCGTAATATTTTAAGTGAGGAAAACACACTGTTGACATTTCTGGCAGTGCGTAATCGCGTGCAACGCCCGCTGTCATGTCGGAAAAAATTTATAATGACTCAGTACAAATTCCTCAGCAATATCGGAGACATTTTCGAAGATGTGCTTTATCTCATATTTTAGCTTGCATTGCACTCTGCCGCGAAGCTTGTCCAGCTCGCCAAAAAGCAGGAAAGAGACTGAGCAGATAAAAAAAAGTTTCGCTTTTCAATACCGAAGTAGAAGCACCAACTGAGGCATGTCCTATCGCAGGCATTATGATTTTATGACGTGTCCGTGATTAAAAAAAACATCAGAGTATGAAGAGAATAAAGTCGGCAAGCAACGAATGAAACCACTGGCAATTTGCAACTTTCACGTTTAAGAGGTGACGTTCCCGTTAATATTATTTGTATTCGGTGTTTGAGAAGTACAAATGGTAGCATAAAGCGGGCAAACAGGAAAAAACAACAACAACACTGGTAAGTAGTAGCGAACAAAGAATGCTTCAGATGTGGAATGATGCGATGAACTTCTTTAAACCGGCACTTTCATTCTATTCCAGAGGCGTAACGCATTCCTAATTAGTTCTTGCACAGTTTGCACAGTGACCGTTTCGAGCGGATGACCTGAACGCGAAAACTGATATTCGAGGTGCAAACTTCCAAGTTACTGTACTCGTACACAAAATCGGGGCTGCATACATTCACTCACCTTGGTTATTTGTGTGCAAATTGTAACCCTCTTCAGCATTCGCGGCTTCTTGGGGTGCTAATTGGAACGGGCGGCTTATGTGGCCTCCCGGTGAGCACTGTGAGCACCGAGGTGTGCCGTAAAATCAGTCGGCTTTTTTCTTTCTACTTTCCGTTTAATTCTCAAAGTCCCATCTGGCTATGCTTTTAGGCGTGAAACCTCAATAAATTGTCATTACCTTACTTCTCCTTCATTTTCTGTTAATAAAATTCGCAAGTTCTTGAACCGCAAAACGTATTCGCTGGCTCGTGTCAACTCAGAAAGGGAGGTAACCAATTATGTCCTCTGTAAATAAATGATATTCAAATATATAGCAAAGTCGTTTATCTCACCCTTAAGCTTCCTCGCGGACACAGTTCTGTGATGACTGATATGTTGGGTTCCTCGACGCAAAGTCCCACAAAGCGAACGAGGTTTTCATGCGTGAGGTCGTGTACCTGCAAAACATAAAAATGATTGGTAGACACTTATAATGACAGAAAACCTGGCTAATGGGTATAGCAATTAGTTGCTGGATAAGGTGAAGTGCGCGAACATGGACCAAGGAAAACAGGACGTGATCTTCGGCTGCTCTTTCACGCTTTCTTTCGCACGTATACACCATACGAAGAGCGGGGCAATGTTATTCTTTTGAACTTTATAGTGAACCTCATGGCAACGCAGACGGCGAAGGCAAAAATGAGTCTGCATTGTCCATAAAATTTCTGTCATGATCAGAAAGATGTGCAAGACCTGAATACACAATGAAAAATTTTTAGCGATGGCTGTTATACTGATAAGAAATTTTCTCAACGATTCCGCACGTGTGTAAGGCTGTTGTCGGATGCAGAGCGAGTTTGTCATTTACATAGCTTAAGAAATAATATTGATAACACATTCGCCTCCAAATTGCTCACGTTTTCTCACTGAGGATCCTGTCGTTTCGGCTGCTCTCTCACTGAACAGCCGCGCATCCTACGTCATGTGGTATGCTGGGGATAACGTGCGCATACTTCAGTTTTCACTAGGTGGTGGACACAAGGAGCCACGGGTGACTAATAATAAACTCTAAAACTGCGTTTCGCTAAGTTAAATATACTATTTTCTCTTGCACCTCTCTAGCACTATTCAAACCTTGAGAAGCATTCACACACCTCGGTCGTTCTCTTTATATCACTGCATCGACAAAGTAGAGCCTACAGTTCTCACCTGTCGACGGCATGTGACGCATCTACGCCTTAATTAATTATCAATATTTAACCTCTATCCTTTGCCCGAACACGTAACTCCGTCCGCCTCCCCATCCTACTCTGTACGATGGGCATCAGAGAGCTGCTTTTGTTCGCGTTTCCTTATAAGAGGTCAATGCTTATAGACGTCAAATATTCCATTTAGGTACATCTTAAAAGCTTTGGGACAGCAGTATCAAAACTGCGTGATAATGAATTTGTAACCATTTCGGAGATTAAAAGTAAACAATCTGAGGCATTGCTTTTTGAGAAAAAGATCAGAGCACTCTGAGCACGCTTGATTTGAGAGGAATTGAATAAACATTTAGAAGAAGCAACGTCTCACATAATTTTCTTAAATGGGCATTTAAACCGCATCAATATTTACTTCTCACCATTTTAATCTCAGCCAGGAGCTGCCTGTTGACGTGGATCTTCTTGACGTCCAGTGGCTTAATTGCCACTCGTATTCCCTGTGGTGTTCGAAAGAAATAAAAATGAATAAAGAAAAGCGCGAAACCGTAATATCAACAGAGTCGGAGTGAGATTTTCACCTTGACGGTTCCCAGCTGAACGCCAGATATCTTCAGTCCTTGTAATGTGCTGACGTTAGACGTTGACTTCATGTACGACTGAAAGCGGAGAAATGGAAGTTTTATATATGAAATGCGCAGTTTTAGGCTTCGGTTTGTTCCCGGTCGCCACCAGCATAGTAGAGCTCCCTCAAAATGGTGCCCCTGATCGGAGGAAAGTCTCTAAAATGTTTTCCCAAACACAAAAATTTATTTCTGCGAATGCTCCTTCACTAGCTGATATGAATGGTACATGTAGAATAAAGCTTTCCTGCATTTCTTCTTAAAAGCTTATACACACAATCTATTTATTTTCTAGCTTAAGATATTTCTAGCCCAAGATATTGCTTGTGGCATTTTTTCACCTGTAGTTGTTACTGATCTCCTTGTTCATTTAAAATGAGCATGTAGTCTTCTGCATATTTCTGAGTCTATATTGCTATTATCTGAACTGATTGCTACTTGCCATATTTTACCGTTGTACAATGATTGTACAAATGTAAAGTGTGACAGGTTCATTCTAGGGGACACAACTATACAGCATATGCAACGTCATAATGTAATTACCATGTTATTCAGTGATAATTATGGTTTGGCGACATTTTGCATCTCAGTGGCATAATAATTAGGAAGAATTTTTTAGGACGTTTCCAATCGCCTGAAAATCTTAGATGCATACCTTTCCTGCCTTACTTTGTTATGCACGGCTGTGTAGCACTGTAAAAAGCATACTCTGCATTTTCATTTTGATGAAAAAAAAGTACATCTTATCAACGCCAGCGGCTTTGTTGTGTGTCAATTATTCAATAGAATTCTGACAGTGAACGTAACGTCTAGTGCTGCTGTGCGTTAGAATATTTTCTTTCGTTAAGTGTTAACGGCGCTCTAAATACAGTTCAATGAAAATCATTCCTCTTTGCAACTCCCTAATTTCTCATTATTTATTTCCTGCGAAACTTCAATCTCAGACCAGGGGGTCCTTCCATTAAACGAAGCTTATGAATGTAGCCTTTGTGTACTTGACGCACACAGTTGCCAACATGACATTTTTAACGGGTCATTTATTATTCCTGAGACGAAAGCCCAAGTGATCTGAAGCATTCAATGTAGACATAGCCCGCAAATGATGTGGCGAAACACAGCTCGTTAACTTACTGGGACTACAACATGATGGCTTTCATGAACTAAAGGCAGCATAATCCCGTTGCGGTTGAGAGGCTGCAACAGTATAATGACGCGGCTGACTTGTTGCGGGGCTTTGTGCATGAATCATGGAAGAACTTGAAAGCTTTGTACACATGTCAGCTTTCTTTGTAAAAATTAACCATATTTCTTTCTTTTTAAGTTTATTTCTTTTTTTAAAGTTTTTTAGCACTTAACACTGACGAGCTACAATTTCAGATAAAATAACCACTCTATGCCTAAGTATCTCTTCATAAAACTTGAAATTCGGTGAGATGGCGCCTAGCTAATGAGAAATATTTGAGCGAAGAAACAAGAGATTCACTACAACGAGAAAGACAAGATATGTGCCCGGCCTATATCGTTCATTCTTGTGAATGTCTTGTTTCTGCACTCAAAAGCTTCCCACTGTGCTTCAAGTTAATAGAGAGTTTAAGAATCGAGGCCCCAAGGAGCTTGGGGACCGAAGGAGCTTGGGGACCGAAGGAGCTTGCGACGCGCCAGGGCGCATGCACAGAACCCAGCGCAATATTGGGCTCTTTCGTTCGTGTTGACCCAAAGCCCAAAAATCGAAAACTAGCGTGGGTCCTTGTGTCGCCGGCGAGACGAAGCAGATGCAGAGCGAGCCACGGTGCCATATAACCCGCGTCTTGCAGGATATTTACTTCGGCTGTAGGTGGCCCCCCGTGCGTTTGACCCAATGCAGTCTGTGTTTGACCCAGTTCTCAAACTCTGCTGATCCTCCGAACGCAAAAGCAACCTACGCAACGTAGTTTAGGGAGCAGTGTCTTGGGCCCCCAATTCTCAAACTCTCTACTATTAAAAAAATTAGGCACATCTGTACAGTTGTGACTGCGCAGGTTGGATTCATACCTTCAATTTGAAAATAGGCCAATTGTAGTATGTGCCTTTAGGGCTCATTTAATTTATGGTAATATTTGCATTTGGATATTTGCATGGTAAATATTTGCATGGTAATATTTGATTAAAATATTTGCATTTGGGAGCAAGCAATATTTGTGGGAAATCTTAATCGTAATCGATTTCTTGATACTCTTTATGTAAAATTGTGATATGCTACATGTTAATGATCCGTTGATTCATTCCCTATACGAAAACTGTTTTATTGGCGTTGACTCGTATCGCATTTTGATAACACCATGCAGGCCTAAATACGTTCGTGCTAACCAGGCGTTGAAAGTAAATTCGTTTTATGGGTTTACAGAAGCACAGCACTCCTCTGCAGGAGTTGTTACACCCAGTGAATTCATTCGAGCATGCAAAAATTTAACATTATTACAACAGAAAAGAAAAATAGGCATGCATATTCACAAGACACAACACGAACATAACACCAAGACGTTGTCGAATTACCTTCAATGTAACTGTGGAATAACTACGGGTCCTTGGTTTCCTAATAACATACACCTGTTGTGAACAACAGTAAAACTAATCTGTTGGCACGAATCGAAGATGAACAGATATATTAGCAAAACACTGAATAATGATACAAGTATGACTGGCACTTTTCACTACGCTCTTTCTTTATCATGGGCCGTTTCCCAAGTGCGAGCTGTAAGGAATTAAAGAACACTTGAGCAGGTTGTTGGTGAAAATGTTGCCTTTTTCACAAATGCCATGCCATTCTGTGCAATCTTGTTGAATTTTTACTTATGCGTGATGTGCTATAGCATCGTAGTGCCATAAGTTATATTGTACCTATGCTCTCTCGTTTGTACCTACCGCTGAAGTCGTTTTGTTACCCAGTGCTGTTGTACTCACTTGAACTGCTGTTTATAGGATGCAATAAACTTCTCTGCTTTTTTTTTTGGGGGGGGGGGGTTGACAACGTTTTGTTTCTTTTTTTTGTGCTATGGAAAAGTTGTCTCCAGCCACAATACCTTGTTCTGACCGATACATCAGCTGCGAACCACTATAGAACTAAAGCTCTGAAGAAATTTTTGTGAGATACGGAACTAAACAAGATAGTGGAAGTAGTTTTTGAACGTTAAACGTTTCGTTTTATTGCCACCTTTATCAAAATTATGAAAGCTGCTATTTCCTCTCTTTACCAGCCTCTGTATTTTACTAGCGCTGATAAGTAGATGATAAAATTTATTCAGGCCGTCCTGCCAGCTTATTGGTCACAACAATCCTCTTAGTGTCTCTTTTTCTCTCACCATCAAACATATTGAGCACTCGCCCACAGCATATCCATCGCATGTCATTAGTGACTGCACTAAAACTACCACACTTTACTCGAACATTGTGTTTTAAACGAGAAAAAGTTTTCTAACCTAGCAACACCCGTAGAAGTCACAAAAAATCTCTTCGGGTGCCACTTCCGCTTTTGATGAAGGCATCGATCGTAGTTCCGCTGTGCCTCATTCTATTGACGTGCACTGCTCATTCATCTAACCCTACTGTTGTGTAGTGAATAGGCGCTCGTCTTGTTGACCTATGTACCTTTTCTCTTTTGAATTCTCTCTCCCTATCTCTATTTATTGTTGTAAGCAGCTGTCTGTAGTTATATAAAACAGACGTTTTGCTGTAAAATCTTTCGAAAATACCTGGCACAGGGTACTTAGGTGCAACCGACCAGGTGAAAACTGTGATATCATGGTTTCTTACTTTGTATAAGGAATTCACGGTGTAGTTGTAAAATGAATTTTTGATGCCTTCTTATTCAAGAAGATACAACCTTGTCCTTTGCACAAAAAGGCAGGGTTAAACTAGGTTACATTTTCACAATAATATAAGAACAAGCAAGAATGAACTTCAAAATAATGAAAAAGCAACAGTGGCGTAGGGTGCACGGGGTGAAGCAAATTGCATCGTGAATAACGCAAGGTGTCGGGTGCGCGTGCCTTGGCAACGTGATTACGACGTGTGTTTGTACACTTACGGCCTGGCTGGCCATGCTGCTGTCGTTGTGGCTGGGAATGCTCAGCCTGGACTTGCTGAGCGCTTTACCCGGCAACGTAATATCGTCCCAGGATATTTTCCACCACTGGTCGTTGAGCTGAGATTCGTACTGAATTTTTCTGCGTGTGAAACGTTTCGCCGCCTTGTTACTGCACACCGAGGGCTTCATTATGACGATAATAATAGGCAGAAAACTGCACTCGCATGAGGCGCTTAATTATTCACGTAGTCATAGGGCCACGAAACGAGCATCATCAATACGGAGGGCTGCTTCTGAGCGGGCCACGTGCGTCGCGTCGATTAAATTAGAGCGCGCTTCACTCTATTGCACAAGCTGGCAAGAAGTTAATTAATAATATTTGAACTTGCGTAATTTACATCATGGCGTTCCCTTCGGTCGGACGAATTATACATCAGGAGCAATGATCGCCAGCCTTCTTTTTACGTAAGACCGTTTCTGCGTGTCCTGGAGAGTTCGAGTACTCTCATGTTTCGACACCTATGCACGTAAAAAAAAAAAACTTGCCAAATCGACTAGAAGCTTTCGAAATACATGTATATATATTCTTTAATATGGAGCGAATTCTTCCTTCCAATTATAGTGTTATCTCCTTACTAAAGCCTGTCTGCAGTCAAAGCATTACTTTTGTTGAGAGATGGGACTTCGACGATACGTTATGCAATAGCTCTCGTAACATTTAAAAAGTAAAATGCATAATCAATTTCAATCCCTTTTGATTGTCTGTTGTTTTCCTAAGCGTATATTTCAAACAGAAGCCTTCATTACAAAAGAGGTTAGCATTACTTTGCCAAGATGATCACGAGGTGTAGCGATAAGGTTGGCTGGCTAAGGAAGCTCCCCGATGCAGAAAACAGCGTAGAACGCACCAGATGTGTGTGGTGTGTTGGTAGTGCCTCTGCATTACGCTTTTTCCGCTCTGTTACTTGAACTGATCTTTGATGTCACTGGCTCAGAGAGCTATGCGAATATACATACACTCGACTATACTGGAAACAAATGACGGCAGCGTATATTATGCGCAACATGCTGCATGGGAGCTGATTCTGTTCGTAGATGTAAAACAGTTATTTATGAAGGAAGTGATAATACGTTTTGGCATGTTTACCTGGAACACGAGGTTTTTATAGGGCGCGTAGGAATATGCAGGGTAATTTTCACAGTATATTTCTTACTTTTACCCAAAGAACCGTCATACTCGATACACTACCCTAAAAAAAGGTGCTTGTTGTTTTTAAAACATTTTTGTAACAAGTGCCATATGAGTAAACTTTTACTGTATCCTGATTGCTAAACAACAATAATTTTTCTTCATTTAAAAACCAAATAGTATTATCCTAGACATGCCAAAGCCCTTCAGTGGCAGTGCCTGGCAGCAGCGAAAAACAGAAATATTATCAAACATACATTCGCATATAAAACCAAACAGCACAGGAGAGAACAGCTAACTTCCCGAAGGTGATAACTACATCATTTCTCTGACCGCTTTTTTAGCTTATGTTTCGTCCAAGTGCACAGTACACTTGGTGGCAACTTCTTAAAGTACAAAAGAAATTACTGTAGCAGTCGCGTGTTCCTTCTACGTACTTTGCGTAACGCTTCGGTACTACGAATTGATTCTTGGAACGCAAACACAATTCCAGTTTTAGATGCAAATATGACACGCTTCGATTTCGTTTACATTTACGTTATGAGCTCGTGCCTTACACTCTGTGTACACCTGTGCTTCGTGTTTAGTATGCCTTGTACAAGTATTGAAATATTTCATAGTTACGAACGGGTTCTTAACTATGAACCCACAATAACTCGCCCAACGGTCAGTGCTACTAAACAGGGTTTTAAGTATTTGTTGTATATGTGGACATGTGTGCTCATTTGTTTTATACGGACTCAGGCTCAAAACATAGCATTTCCTATAGGGTTGGTTTGCATTGTTACAGAACTGATGTCAACTGTCTGCAAAGATTCATGGGATTATCGTTTTGTTTCATAATACTTTGTTCGCTTGGCTACTAGGTGTAGTACGTGTGGCACTAAAGATGTGAGAAAATAAAAATGGGCTGTAGTCTGCACACACAAGTATACGTGAAAGGTTAGCTTTAAAAAAGGTGTCAAAAGCTGGGTGGTGCTCATTCTGAAAACTGCGGGGTGTATCGCAGGAGTAAACAGGCCAAATAACTTTTCAAAGTGTTCTTCTACTCTCGGAAATTATCAGATAGAGTTATATTCATTTTCGCTCGTTATGAAAGAAGAAAGGGAAACTGCTGATTTCTCATCTATCTTTCTCTGAGATACTTTTCAGGCCTGAGGAAATAAAACGTGGTTAAACTTCTACCTCTAATCTATACATGAATGCGACGGCACACTACTACTAAACACACATACTACTACTTACTAAACACACATAGCACTACTTACTAAACACACATACTAAACCACACACATACTAAAAAGTACTGGATGTGTTTGTTGTGGCGCTATACACGATTAACAAAAATAACAGCGTTTCAGCGCGCGTCAGTGAATTTCAGCGTATACTGGAAGGTGCTTGGAATTCTTAAAATATCCGCGTTTTTAGCTTCGGATCTGTGTAGTTAAATGGGCGAATATGACTTCATCCAATCGGTCACAATGAAAACCGAATTGGAACGATCATTTGATTCTCCTTATATAAATATTTGTTTTTCCCTATATACGAACGTGCACAGATAGCAGGGGATGCTGCCGTAACCCTAACGTACGGTACATCTATACAGTGAAGTCTTGTGGCTTTAGTCGTGGCACGGGAATGAGAGTGACCAAAAATATGTTCAAGGGTGTGGCGAGAACTGAACTGTTCGGCGCACAGTTAACAGGCGCGACGTTTCGCACACAGAAACGACTAACCGCTTAGCGAGTCAGCGCAAGTGGTGTTTATATAATCGGTTGCACCAGTCTTTTTTTCCTAATATTGAACGCGTTGGGTAGACGTTATTATCTCACGAAGCACAAAAAACACACATAAACACATGAACTACAATCCGGTTGGTTGTCACATGCGCGGAGACACTCAAATCTGCGCTTCTAAACAAGAGAATGCAGACAGATCACCAACGTTACTCATGACATGAAGAAATAAACCTTCATGTGCCGTTGCAATGTGATGTAGTAGTAGCGTGTGGGGCTCGCAATCTGTTGTGCACCCCCCCCCCCCCCTTTATTTTTCAGCTTTGGCTTCTTTTGTCGTAGTGCTCGTAATTAGCCAACCTTACGGTCTGTGCGTGAGGAAATCTGTAAGAAACAGTTAAAAAGTGCAATTTCGACCCAAGTTCTGCTAATATTGTTTTTTTCGTGAGGTGTGCTACTACTGCTTTCTTCGATGGAGTCTGGATACTCTGCTTCGGGCAGCGGTATGTCACTCTTGTTAAGGTGGAGTTCGTGGACCTTTTTTCAAGGAATTACTATACTTTGCCTCAAATAGAGGTGGTTGACCTTGGTAAAGAAAATAAGATATGGGGAAAGGAAGTACTCTTCAAACGAGAGTGCCTAGCACTTTCCTAGTTTTTAGAATGCGCAGAAAAAAGTGTAATGTACATAAGCAAGTGAAAGTCCCTCCATTAGTTTAGCATAAGACAAAGGTACTTACTTGATGATAAAAAATGCGGAGATGCCTGCTATTGCAATGAAGCCAGCCAAGGCAATGCCTGCTGTGGCGTATGGTGGAAATACTTCTGAGGAGCGCAAAAAGATTGCGACATTGACACTTTTAGAATAATTGTATCCTGCACGCTAAAAAAATAAAAAAAGACTTTATAGTACATTTGAGAGCAAACGCTCACTTGAAAGGACGGTGGAACATTTTTGATGCATGATTACAATATGAGGCCGATCGGTATAGTGGAGGCTGCTGAGGACTTGAGAGCCAGATAGTTTAGCGCTGTGTGCGGCCTGCCAATTGCAAATAATTTTCGAGGTCAGCTACAAATTGTTCCCTTTTTGTATAAATGATATCATACAACCAATGCTCGCACCATATTGCTAAATTCACGGCCATTGGCTGAATTGAGCATTGTGGGCAGCACAGTTACCATACCCGCCACGGGAGGCCGCCGCATGCCCGCGGGGCCACCCACAATCGCACTCAAAGGGAGCCACGCGTTCAGAAAAAAAGATGTGCTCGACGGAACGACATGTGAGTGGCTTAACAACTTTTCCTCTTGTCATTCCTCCTTGCTTAGCTTCCAGCGCCCTCGTAGGGACGAGAGGAGGGAGAAAGGAACTAGAGCGTGTGACAAATTTCTTAAAGTCCGCTTGTAACTGACTGCCTCCGAATATTGTCCCTGCAGTCAATTAGTGTGGCAATGAACATCTTAAATAAACCTATTATTGGGTATTTGAAGAAGTACTGCAGAGCTTCTTTAACAGTAAGTCGGTGCATGGATAGTGGGAAATGCGATGTAGAAGGCAAGATCACAGATGCATACGCAATTAAAAAACAACAAATCTCGTTAATTATGGACTTTAGATTTTTTTCTTTGACATTGTTTCACTTGAGGACCATTTTTCAAATGCGCATTACAAAACACACCAGATTCCTAAGTCGTGCATTTAGGTCAATTGAGCGTGATTGGATGGATAGGTGGAAGGGTTAAAAACTTTACTTAAGTCGTGACAAAAAAAATAATCGTGCTGGCACTGCGCGCAGGGCATGAGCAATCATTTTTGCTCAATGCGCTTCATTAAGCCGACGACAAATATGTCGCATCAAAAGCAACAAAAAAGTTCCTGTTCTGTGGGTCAACGTAATGCTGCGCTCTTTAAAAGAAACGCAGTGGTGCTCAACACTGATGACTAAGTGCAGAAACTAGCCTTTGAGAAAATTCACACAGCTTCGTAAAATATCTCACCGTGTAATATATTTGAGAACCCATATAGGCTAATAAATGTTGATCAAACCTAAATACAGAGTGAGATGTATGCTTTGCTTTAATGTCAATACAATAACCATGTAGTGGATATCTTAAGGGAAAATATACCTAAGCAAACCTCACCTTGCCCAAAAAACATGTCACGTTTTTTTTTCTGCCGTGTGTATTGCAATGCGTGGTCGTATTGCAATCATTAATGTAATGTAATGCGTAACATAAGTTACTTCATAGAAGTTGGCCTCTAGCCGACATTGTCCTACTGAAATCGCTATATTAAAACTACTACGAAATAAACACTGCAGTAAGCACTTCTTAAAATTTTTGTATACTTCACCCAGACCACCACAATTGGCGAGTTAAAGCAGGCTAGCAAGCGGTGAATCGAATATGCTTACAAGGATTGTTCAATGCTGATCAGCTTGTACACCTCAGCGGAATTTTTTTGGTGAAGCCCAAACACGGGAAGTTTCCCAGTTTTGTAACCTCAGGTTTAATTAACCTAGGTTCGATTCACTTCGTAAGCGCACTTCGCCGTTGGCCACAAAAAGTCGATAATGGAAGTCTAGCATTGCGATTGGCAGAAAGTATCGCAGTTCACAAGTGTGCCAGAACAAACGTAACAAGAAACCAAGAACAAACGGGACAGAATTCTGTGCTCATGACAGCCAATTTTCCTGAAAGTTTCGCTTGTGAAAAATAAAACGTCCTAAAACTACTCTATGAATGTAGGCCTTGCCCTTGAATCTTAAAGGAAAAATCTCATGCACACACCAAGGCTGAAGGCAATCGTCACATGATAACATAACAGGTATAGTACTATGCCGGATGCACTTGCCTGATCCTTGGCACTGCGGTTCGTCTCCTTGGAAACCGCATTCCGGAACGTCTAGTGGTGGGCCGTTCCGACTGCCGGGCCAGTGAATCTCTGTGCCCATCACGTATTCGAACTCTTGCGTCGCTCCTAAATAGGTGCCCACAGGCTGTAGCATAGAAGGAATAAGTTAATGGGAGCACAAACACGCATGCACAGAAAGTTGGGATTATTTCATGGTAGATAGTTATCATCGCAATGTTATCGTTACACGACCGCGCTTGTCACTTAGTTGTTAATCAGAACTCTTTTTTGTGTGTGCGCTTTCGCGGGAAATTTTTTTGTCGATGATCGGTATTCTCACAACTGAACTTGTGGAATCGCGGGAAATTTTTTTGTCGATGACCGGTATTCTCACAACTGAACTTGTGGAATAGCCGATGTCACGGTATTTTATACCCAAGCTAGTAATGAAAAAATCCACTTAAAGTTTATCACTTGACTCCACTGCTCTTTTTACGTGTTTATTACCCTGTAAAAGCAGTCAGGCGTAAGTCACGAGTTCCGGGGCCATATTTCATTTTTATAGTATTTGCAATATCGCTTCAGAGATTAAATGAACTGCCCGTGCATGCGTGAGTTCGTAGGGACTAATACTGCGTAGTTAACAATAGTTTCGCGTGAACAGTGTGTGCGTTACATCGTTAATGCCGCTTTCATTGTTATCGTTAATTCTCCATCTGATGTAACTTCTTTTTCTGGAGGCACGCGTTTTCTTTTTGTGTCTTTAGCATTGTGTCCCGTCGAATCTTACAGCCTTTGACAAGGCTAATCATTAGTTAAAAAACAAATAAATAATAAATAAATAAATGACACGCAGTTTGGAGCAAAACTATTACTGCATTTGGAGCTGTCCTGGAAGTGACCAGATCGGCAGACGCCGGCATAGATGGAAAGTTGTTAGAAGTGTTGATGTTCCCTGTATGGTTCCACACCTGTTTAAGTGCAGACCTCTTATAAATGAAAAGTGCGCGCAACTACTTGCAACATACCGTCAGCTCCACTCGTTGGCGTAAAATCACAATAGTTTTAAAGCTTGTATGAAGCTGAAGTTTTCATTAGCTGAATCGACAAGAAAACGATAAACCTCTTAATACAAAATTTTGTACAACAATTCCAGCTGCTCAGAACCTTTCAATGAGCTCAATTTTCGTTGACATTCCTGACAGTTGATCTTAAACAGTTGACACTTATCTTAACACGTGTTACGCTCCTCTACCATAGGTGCCCAAAATGACTCTTCACTTACACCCGAACCTATGATTTGTACTTTTAGAAAGACATTTTATGAAAATTTTAAAAATCACAAGTAAGCACTCCATCGAAAGTGCTCTGTTAAGAAACAAGAGTTTCATTGAAAGTCGTTCCTCTTAACACCTTGACTAAAAAAAAAGGCAGCCGTGTCGTGAAGCTGTGATGAGGTATATCAATCTTAAAAGATACACCTAACGAGTATTAACGTTCTGGAGCATCATGGCGAAAGTTGTCTGTACTTACCACCATTACACCTGTGTCTGGATCGAGGTCGTTTAGAGTGTAGTCCGCTTCACGGTCTCCGTTCTCATTGATAGAAATGTCTCCAGTCAATCCTACGCGCAGAAAACAATATAACAGTAATCCAAAAAGGCGTGAATGCTCCCGTAAAAAGAAAGTTACGCAATATGAGATAATCATGTGAAACCATAAGTTATCTGCAACGCGAATGCGAATAGATTGTTACATGAAAGTGCGGAGGCTTGTGTTTCATGAAACAGCTCTCGCACATCTATATAAAGAAGTCTTACTGCGTGCAGCTTCAACGTTTTCATAGCTAGTTTATCATTTCTTGATGAAACCTGATTTTTCTCTCCGTTTGACATGAGCCAGCTATCTGGAATTGATAGAGATAGTTTGCCCCGAAGAGGGAAAGAATTCCTTCCGGAAGTAAGAACTAACTTGGGTAGTATGGGTAAACATTCGCTAAAGGTTTCTAAGGTGGTCTCCTTTTTGCGGACCCTTTCTGTTTATTCAGTTGATTGTATAATAGCAGCGCCCATGGTTTACCCAACATGGCAGCTCATCACCCACATTTATTGAGAATAAGGAACACCTTGCGTTTCCAGGTGATGGTGGCTGGTTGTTCACAAACAATATATATATATATATATATATATATATTGTGTTAAAACACGAAAAAACGAGCCTTAGGTATACACTTCTTTCCCTTATATATATATATATATATATATATATATATATATATATATATATATATATATATATATGTGTGTGTGTTTGTGTGTGTGTGTGTGTGTGTGTGTTTGACGTAAGATGGAATGAATGGTTTGTAGAAGCAGAGAAGGAAGAAGTGAGAAAGGAATAAACATGGCGTATGAGCCAGGCCACGTCTCCCATTTATCATGGCGTCACACGAGTCGACAGGATGAAGACATGGCCGCCACTCATCAGCCTCACATCATTCACGAAGCCACCGGCAATACTCCTCAACTGAATATCGACTACAGAAGAGGTGATCTTAGGCGCATGCAGTTACCGCCATCATGACAAAACCATGAACTGACCTTCCCATCCCCAAGTACGGAGCACAGGACGATGGACCTGTACAGGACTGGTTCGACCTGCTCGAGCTCCACGCTACCGCTGCATCATGGTCGGAACGGGAGATGATCGCCAACTTCACTGACTACATATCCGGTGAGGCAATTAGGTTTTACCTCACACACATATTCGAAAACGACGAATCATGACAAAAGATTAGAGAAGAGATGATTGCCCGTTTTAACGACTACGACAGACTTCCTCATTACGAACCACCCGCATACAACCCCACTCAGCCGCCACAATCCACGCTCATTTCTCAAGGAACATAGCCTTCCACCACGTTTCTCTTGACGAAAGCCGGTATTTTCAAAGTCGTCGCTCCAGCACACGACATGAGACGTTGCTTACACACCTGATGCACTTTATTCTTCGTCTCGCATACGTGGTACCACCCGGGTTTCAATCACGCGGCTTTTCAAACGCTCCTGACGCTCACCGTTTGCCTCATGAGGACGCCGTGTTCACGATAGACGAGCTGACGCACCGGGAAAATATCCTGTCGAGCCATGTTCCTCCCGCATAGGTTCATGCATCATCGTCCGGTTCATACGCACTCGACAGTCGAAGTGAAACAGAAGGCTCCGATACATCGAACATCGCACGCTGCCAGGCGCAAAAGCTCTTCGTAGTGAACAGTGTAGAAGAAGCTTCTGAAGAGCTTTCTGTCAACTCTGAAGCATTATCTTCATTGCCCGAGCTGCATTACAACAGCCCACAGACTATCAACTGCCGACTGGACACTACATCAATTTGTGTAGAAAAGCGGCATGATGTTCAAGAAGCGCTCCCACCTCAGCAGGTTTCAATACAACCGCAGAAACACCAGCAAAAGCGAGTCCAAGGATTCGAGACATTCCAACGGATACACCAACAAGGACAACAATGCAAAGCGAGCCTCTTAAAACTAACTCAAGACGTGACGCATATACGCATAAAGTATCGGCGCCACAACGCATTTGGCACAAGAGATCAAGACTGCGCCTATGATTACAGCTCCGAAACTACAGAAAACTACGGAAGAGACGAAAAGGCACCATCTGTAGAACTCGGAGATCAAGACACCATTCCGCCAGCCGCGACCATTGCACTCGCAAACTGGAAACACACCGTCTGTTCCCGCTACGACACACAATTCGACACCTTCGACGCCTGAACCTCAAATGCTACAGGGACTCCCAACCTAGTCCGTTCCTCACAAGAACTCAGCCGATGTCATCACAAGTGCAGATCTCCAGGGTGTGGTTATGCCATCCAGGACGCAACATCCAGCCTCGTCCACCCAAGTTCTTTTAGACATGGCCGGACTGTTTCCCTCTGCTGTGGATTTTTTGGGCGAGTTAAGGAACTTCCTTCGGAAATAGAACTATGGTGCATTTTGACATTTTTCGCTTTAGCACTCTGCGTTTTTGTTGTTTTGTTAAGCGTCTGACGCAGCTTCTTCCGGGGGAAGGGGGAATCATGTGACGTATGATGGAATGGATGGTTTGTAGAAGCAGAGAAGGAAGAAGTGGGAAAAGAATAAACATGGCGTGCTCTGGGGGTTTGGCTGAAATCTGAGTAGCCTCTACTGAATTTCTTCTTGGATAGGCGTATCTAAAGCCTTAGCATTGATTAGCTAGTACCCTTCTGGCTAGTCAATCCAGACAGATGCCGCTTTCTTCGCCTGGACCAGGGACTTATCTCTGGTCTGCTTCTCTTTCACCGCAGGAGCTACCAGTGGACCAGTTCCTACGCAATGGCGTCGCTTCCGTTCCTGTGGCCCTAGTCCCAAGCAACGACGGAGTCATTAAGATGAAAAACCCTAAAGTGATCCAGTCGGAACTCAAAGCAGCGACAACTCACTATCACACCATCACAGAGGTCCGGCAGTTTGGCAAGGGAGGCATTGTCTGCTTTTCTCCTGACCAGCTCTGTGTCAAAGACTTACTTAAATGCTCGATGTTCGCTACCAATCCGGTGAGCGCCTTCATTCCTCCTCACCTAGCATGCGTCAGAGGTATTGTCCGAGGCGTAGACATCAACATGACTCCAGCTGAGGTCCTAGAGATGTTCTCTGAGGCAGGTGCTATTGCAGTTTATAGATGCTCACGAGTTGTAGAACAGACAAAGATCCCTACTGAGTCTGTAATTGTCACATTTGCCGGGTCGATTCGCCCCACTGAAATCAAGGCGTGGCCTTTAATATTCAGAGTCGAACAACTGTCACCTCGTCCCCTCCAGTGTCAGAAATGTTGGCGCTATGGACACACTTTAAAAGGATGTAGGTCAGCTCCCAGATGCCGAAAATGTGGTGAGGCACATACTGCAAATGAATGCAATTGTACTGAAGAAAAGTGTTGTCTTTGTCATGAGCAGCACTGCGCAGATAACGCTAATTGCTCAGCCAAAGCGCGGGAGACTCAAATTATGGAAATTGTTGATCGCAGACGCTGTTCACGAAAAGACGCCATCGCTGAAATTCAGGCAAGAACCCAGGGATATGCTGGTGTTGCAGCCCGACATAATGCAACTTTAGAAGCTTCTCTTTCAGTGTCCATTGCAGACATGATTGAAAAAGCGATGGAGAAAGCTATAGATCGCCTGGCCACCACCCTTTGTGACTCCTTATCTCATATTGTAGCCACTCAGTTGACGCAAATATATGGGACACCAAGAGATAAGAAGGATACTTCCCAAGACAACGTAACTCTCCCACCAAGTGAAGCAGACGCAGAGTCATCTCCTTCAGGGGTACAGGCTGCAGGGCCCTCTTGTACAGACAACCAGAGGATAGGTGAAGACATACTAGAGGATGATCAGGATTATGATGATATGGACATGGACATCAAATCCCTAAAGCGCACTCGATCCCCTGTCTCCAAAAATACTGGCTCTTCAAAACATTCAAAAAACAAAAAATACCAGAAGGAGAACCTATCGAAGAGCGATTTTCTTAAAGACAGCATTTTAGATAAGGTAGTTGCCGAAACAATTCTGTCAAAATGATAGGTTCTATCAAAATTCTTCATTGGAACTGCCGATCTATTCATTCAGCTAGTACAGATTTATTGTATTTATCTTGTAAATTCAATCCAGACATTATTGCACTGCAAGAAACGTGGCTGTCAGCACATAATTCGTTTTACCTACCTAATTTCCGGTCTTTTCGCCTGGATCGCCCATCCAAAGGTGGAGGTTTAGCGTTCTTTGTCAATAATAAAATTAGTTCAAAGATCAAAACTTCGTACAAAAGTATATCCCCCGAATGTGAAATTTTCGCTTTAGACATCACCTTGCCTGGATGCTCTCCCTTCTCTCTGGTAAATCTTTACTTTCCTCTGGGTGTACAGGACACGCGATGTTTAGACATGGCTGTTAGTTCGTGGTGCACAGAAAAAATTATGGTTGGAGATTTTAATTCTCACCACACTAGTTGGGGTTTTAGGACTGATCAATGTGGACAACGCTTGTGGGACTGGTCTATAGACCATAATTTATCATGCCTCAACGCTAGAACTCCCACATTTATCCGAGACCGATCCCGCTCTGCCTTAGATTTGAGTTTTATAAGCTCGGGTATTTCTAGCGTATCTTGGACTACTCTAGACTGCGCCACCAACAGTGACCACTTACCAGTACTGTTTGAAATTTCTTGCCCCATTATTCCATCTTACTCCCAAGCTCGAACCTTTATCAATTATTCCAAATTTAAAAATGACCTAGAAGTTGCTTTGACTACCCCCACTGAAGACAACGATGAAAATAAAGCCATGAAATTAAGTGCGGTAATTAAAAGAACGTTCAAAAAAGCAGAATTTGCTATTGAGTCTGATACGAGAAAGCCTTGTAGTCAGTGGTGGAATTCTGAGTGCTCTCGTGATCATAGACGACGACAAGCGGCTTGGAAGCAGCTAATTCATAATCAGTCCCCCAAAAATTGGGCAGATTACAAGTTTATTGCTGCTACATTTAAGCGCACCGTGGCTAAAGCTAAAGAAGACTATGACAA